AGCTGGAGAAAATAGCTCATGAGTTTCTGAAGAAGCAAGCGAAGAAAGTGAAACAAGGTGTTGGAAATGGAGCGACACAGAAGTACGTGAAGAAGTATAGAGAAGAATCTGATAAGTGCATCGAAGCTGTGGATTTGGCTTTGAAAGAATCTTTTCAGAATGGGAAGAGGAAAGGGAAGATTGATGCAGAATCTGAAAAGTCGAAGAAGAGACTTAAGATATGGTACGAAGTCTCTTATCTTTCCTTGGTTTTAGATACTTGAATTTTAAGATTGATAACTATGATCGTTTGAAATGTGAAGAAGAACACACTATAATTCATTTGCTACATAGTGTCTTTGTTTCCTAGTCTTAGATTATCAAGCTTCTTAAGTTGTTTGATTGCAAAAGTTGTTCTTGCTCTGAATTTATGATGCTACTGATGGGTTTTGTGGATTCAGTAGTCTTGTATACATACATTCTGATGTATGATGATGTATTTTTATTGTTTATCAGGAAGGGAAAAAGAGCTGTTGAAGCTAGTGACAGTGATGATAGTAGCGACGAGGAAGATGAGAAATCTGTTGTTTTAAACAATGGTAGCCAAGTTGTTTCAGATAAGGATAGTGATGAAAGCTCAGGATCGGTTATGGCTGGAGCCCGTGATGGTGATTCTTCTGGTAAAGATTCTAGCAATAGTGGTTCAGAGGAAGAGAAAGACATTGTAGTGTGCCAAAGTTCAGATGTACCTAAGGGAGAGATCACTGGTGTTCAAGTGATTAACGAAGAAAAGATGGATGATTCACCTGTCGCAGTTGCTGATGCAGTGGGTCAAACTGAAAAGGAGGAGAATTCAAGTGGAGACGCAGAAAAGAATCTGGTCGAAGTAGCTTGTGAAACGCTAATTACTTCTGTAGCTGTTAAGAATCAAGGCAATGATTCTGAAGTAAAGCCAGAAGGAGTTGCTGGAGAAACAGGCAAACCTGTCGAACCGCTTAACTTTGATGATTTCAGTTCAGCAACATATATGGAGGTATATATGGATTTTTCATACGCAAATCTAAATCAAAATTATGTCTTTGAACATAACTTTGTTGTGTGTTGCATCAATCACTACTAAATCCTTATCCTAATCTAATCTGTGTTTTGGTTTCAGGCTCTGGGGATGGAGAGATTAAAGACAGAGCTTCAGTCACGCGGACTGAAATGCGGAGGGACATTGCAAGAGCGGGCTGCGAGGCTATTCTTACTTAAATCAACACCGCTCGATAAGCTCCCAAAGAAATTGCTGGCCAAGAAATGAAGAACAAAACGCAACTGCGAAAGTTCTATTACCCTTTTCAAGTTCTCTGCTTGTTGTACTGTAAACACAATCCACATGTGTAATATGAGCTTTAAGCTCACTAATCCAACAAGATTATCACTTTTTCTTTCACTCAATTCTCATCTATTCATCATCTTACAAGTGTATTTCTCCGACTAACTGTATTCAGATAGAGGAATACTTTCAACGTTACATAAGTGTGAAGGACTAGTCTACAGATACAAATAAATATTACGTGTAAATTTGTCCTCTGTTTAGATTTGATCTTTGATGACAAACCAAGCCGTATAGTGTGGAGCTTGATGTCGAATTCGAAGAACAAACCTTGTTCTGTTTGTTAGCATCATTGCGTCGTGGACTTTTGCATTATACCTTTTGCCTCTCTTATGGCTGAGCTCGCAGCCTGCAGCACTATTTTCTTAACCTACAATACAGTGAGAAGATATATTAAAGGAGGTGCTAGACTCTTTTAACCTTCCAAATGATGCTCCGATATAGCGGAAATATTCAACGTACCTCTAGTTTATCTTCGTTGGATCTGTGGGCTTTTGGTAATCTCCGGAACTCTTGTGTTAACCTAAGGCATTCTTCTACGCTTTCAGGAGCTACAAAATCTAGTGCCACCTTTATGCAAGACTGGAAACAATTTAAATTTTAGTTGAGATCTTTTTGTTTGTGATAGGAAGAAACAGCGAATGAGCAAAAGAGGGCTGAACCGGATGAATGGAAAAAAGATCTCCAAAAAGAGAGAGAATTTGACTGGTTGCATACTTGTCTGTTCCTCACTTGGTGAGGACAACCTGCAGGTATGAAAACAGCTTCCCCGAGGTGTTGCTCGAATGTCCATGGTTCTATATCTGCATACGACAAAACATATATCAATCGTACCCCATAGCAAAGAAGAAAATCAGCTTTTAAAGCTGCACAGGCTTTACTAAGACCAGAATCTTACCGAATTCTTCCTTCAGCTGTTTCTTCTGGCTTTCACTCAAGAAGACAGTCTGGTCATGAATTGGGTGAATAACCTGAAATAAAACAGACAACAAATTCCAGATTTCGCACACACCAGTGATTAATTCAAAATATGAATCAGTTACAAGAGAAGAAATGTATGTGATGATACATACAGATTCCACAGGTTGGTTATTGATGTGACGAAACTCATGCTTGTGCCTTTTTAAATACTCAATAAGTTTTGGAACATCCTCTCTTCGAAAGATATCCCAGACAGCACCACCATGCACAGCCTTTGACCTCTCACTGGCATTACCCTCAGTTTTCTCAGGAGTATCCACTTTCAGCTCTTGTATGGATTTCACAGTTGTACTCTCAACAGGCTGTGGGGGATTATCCTCAGTATCGCACGGGGCAGTTAGAAGAAGTGTCGGCATCATTAGTCTGTTCTCCACCGAGGGATCATCTTCTTTTTGGTATTTCGGAGATAATCTATCTGTCTTCAAGCAGATGTCATTTTGATTCTCGTCAGCAATTGAAGGAAGTGGTGGCACCATTAGTCCATTCTCCACCGAGGGATCATCTTCTCTTTGGTGTTTTGAAGATAATTTCTCTGTCTTCATACAGACGTCAATATGATTCTCGTCAACAACTGATTCATTTGTCAGCGTTACGTTCTTCTGAGGAATTAAACCTGCATCTGCCTTTAAATCATGACCCGACTCCATAGCAGTCGTGCAAGAATATGAACTAGAAGACCCTTCCATAGGATCAGGTGTTTCAATGTTAGTACAATCACCTGAAATTTAAGTCGTATTCAGTAAAATGTCTATTATACATAATTATTGGACGGAGTTACTTGCAATACCTTTTGAAACAAATATTTTATCAACTTCTTGTGAGCCGGACGGTCTCGAACTGCTATTTGATTGTTCTTTGTTAGCTGCCTCGTCATTTAAACCCAGTTCTCCCAAAATACCATCACATTTTTTTAAAGCTTCCACATTCTTTATAGGGTCCATCAAGATGATTTTATCTTCATCCACTCCTTTCAGTGACTTGTTTTCAAATTCACCGTATAAAGCTTCTGTCGGTAGACCACTGTATTGTTTACGCAACTTGGCTTCTGCATATCTTTTCCGTTCTACTTCCATCATTTGGCATTGCTTGGGAGATATTTCCACCTTAGCTGTGTGTGTCAGCACATTGACCTAACTCAAATTCATAGAAGAATTAATCTCCAAAGTAGAAGGGACAGCTTAAGATCACCTCAGAAAGTACAAATCTATGAAGAATTGAGAAAGAACTGGTGTACATACCGCATCAGAAATATCACAATGTAGCTTTGTTACTGAATCTCCTCTATCAAGCTCTTCAGGGAAACCGTATGCAATGTATGTCTTGGGTCCGAGATCTGGCTTCAAGGAATTTTCTGGAAGTCTTGTTGCGAGATTTAGGAGACCAAACTTTGGATCAGTGTAATCAAAGAAAGGCAATGCAGCAATAAACTCAGCATTATGCCTTGGAAGGCGCTCTTCAAATAAACTTGATGGAGGCCAATCCTTCAATTTCAACATTTCTGGCCAACCATTGTGATGCATGCGGCCTTTTAAATAGCCTTGAAAAAACATGTGAATATTTATTTCAACCTACAAGAGAAAGAGATGGTACTGAGTTTACTTCTTAGGAAACAATACAGCGAGTATTAAAACATATAGAAACGGGTTGACTGACCTCACACCAGTCCCAGCAATCCAAAGCTTTCACGCTTTTCGCCTCTTCTTTACATCCAACCTTTGGATCAATTTCCCTACAAGCCCTCCACATAACCATTGGTTCCCAACTTAGTCCAGATGTCTTCTCGAGAACATTTCTGACTATCACAGGTTCCGCCCTCATCCAATGCGACTGAAAATGAACAATATCGTCTTCAGCCAGATCAACAGCATTTGGGGAGTATAAGAAATTGTCATGAGCATTTTTCCTAAACGCTGCCTGCCTTCTCGTGGAATCAGAATTGGTTATGCATGAGGAACATTCATGAGCACTATCCACATCTGGTGGCCTAAACTGCCGAGTAACTTCCTCTGCATTTGTTATCAATTGTTCAACCCAATCACTTTTGCATAAGCGTCTCAACTCCAGTGTTGAAGAACCACAACCACCACACTCTTTTGGAGGGCATGGAATGCTACCGTCTGAATTAAGCTTCCAATTAGAGAAATGTAAAGGCACATAAGCTTTGGAATCTTTTCCTTGACCTGCTTGGATTCCCCACTCATATCCTGTCCCTTCAGCATTTCCATCCCTCTCTAGATGGTGGAAACCCTCTCTTAGTTCCTTGCAGCAAGCAAGACATATATCGCATGAACACTTTGGGTTTGGACAGCTTCTGTGAAAATTGGCAATAGATGTCCGGCAGAGATCACTGTAGTACAAGGATATAGAGATTGTAAATAAGCAAGGAAGCAAAGGTAATGTATAATAACCGTAAAATCAGAGGAAAATTCTGTTAAATAGAGGATGAGATGCAATTCAAAGAGACAGATTAACAAATGCTTTTCTATAGATCGCAAACCAATCTATGTCATGTTTATACAATATACAAGGTCTTCATTTGTTCTCGATACCCGAGACCACTTGAAGAAAAGATAACTAATGAGCAGCAAACCGATTACCAGATCCCAAATATACCCAAAAGTATCCCAACAAGGTTATAGAACCTTTCTTCCTTGGCCAAACTAATAATGATGAAAACAACTCCCTGCCCATTGCTTCACATGTGAAAGCTTATTTTAAATTCAAATAAAAATACAAGAAAAGAAAACTACGTAAAATGATCATAATCTTATCACCTACTTATTAAATCAACCCAATTATTTCCCCAAATGTACCTTTTTATTATTCCATTGATTTGAAAAATAAATAGCTATCAGTGCTGCCCACTAAAATAGCCTTGTCAACAAGACTAGAGACTAGAGGTCAAGAGTTTCCTTTTGAAGCTAGTGAAATGAACCATTCTCTGGAGGTAGTCCTTTGTGGGTATCTCCAATACTTTCTCTTTATGTTTCCAGCATCTCCAAAAATGGTTCCAGCTTATTCTCCCTGAATTAGTTTCAAAGTCTGCGGCTTTGTTGTTGGGACAACCGCATACCCTTCATACACATTAAAGACGCCATGACCTTCCCAGGGTCCGGGTGCATTGGATCAGTAAAAATATATTATGCCCGTCTTATCCATTCAGATCCGTCATTTAGTTTAATTCCAAGCGTTTAGTGGAAGATCAGTTTTCCTCCGGACCCATCGAAGAGATTGATCTTCCCACCTCAGCAGCCATCAGAGAGGCGATTTTTCCATGCGCTTCTTATTAACACCGGATAAGTAAGTGTTGGCCCTTTGTTATCGAGGTTAGTGGAGCCCAATTTAGGTTTGAGAGCAACTCTTTGATGGCCATCACAGACTCCTCCAAAGACGCTGATCCATGGTTCACCTCTTGTTGGTTCTCTATCGCTTCCATGAGCCGTTACATCCATGCATGCATCCTTGTACTTACTTTGCGGAGTTTTCCACAGATCCAACCAATTGGATCAAGTAAAGAGCCAATAAAAGAAGATAAGATAGTTTCCTTCATAAAAAGAAAGAAATACAAAATTTTCCCCACAAGAGTGTAACCCTTGCTCAAAGATACCGGAAAGTATCCCAGCAAGGTGTAGAACCCTTGCTCCTTGGGATAAACCGATAATTGTGAAACCAACTACCTGGCAATTGCTTCACATCTGAAGCTTATTTAAACACAAATGAAACTACTTCATAAGATCATAATCTCATCAATCACCTACCAATCAACCCACCCTAATTCTTCCCCCAAAATGTATTCCTCTTATTGATCCATTGATTTAACAACAATATTGCTATCACATCTGTAAACTTAGCCATAATCGCTATATAAAACGCTCTCTCTACTACATATTTGCAAGGGATAAAAGAAACAGTATAAACTTTAGTAAGGTTCGTTTTCCCCAGAAGAAAGATAAGCCAAGCAGTCAAGAAAAAGTAAAGGAGCTCCCCGAGCTTTGAAATTTTACCAGTATATGCGTTCACTTGGGTCAAGTTTGCACCTAGTAATATCAGATTCTGTCACAGGGACTCCTAATATAAAAACAGGTTTGTGAGTGGAAAATATAAACAAAAGAAATGAGAGGGTAGCACAAGTGAATACCAAGTGACCATACCTCTAATTGAGGTTTCATTCTCTAGTTCACGGTTCTGCTCTGTATAAATGTCCCTAAGAACTGGAAGAACTTTAACTAATAGGTACTGCAACTGCTTGAACTTGACATTCGCATCTTTTTCACTTCGAAGCTGAAATTCAGAAGAAGAAAAAACAGAATGAAAGGAGACATTTCATCTCAGTGGATTCACAGGAAAACAGTGATCTCAAGTCCCTTTTACCTTCACAACCAAAGGTCGACGCAAACAAGCTCTACAATTGCAATTCCCCATACAGAATGGACATGCAGTTTTAACTTCCTCGCTTGTTCTTTCTGAATACCTTATAGAGATTCAGAATAAGAGAAATTCAAACTCTCCTGACTGGTTAAAAAAGGCGACTGCAATCATACGCTAACGCAATACAAAAATTTGCAAAAACTTACCATCTCTTGATGCATTCATAGCAATAGCACTTCTTGTTACACTTCAAACAGAAGATAAGTTGACTCTCACTCGTTAAGTTCTTACAGTGATGACACGTCAAACCCGAAAGCTTTCTGGTTCCATCAGACTTACCCTGAAAGACACAGTGTTCAAACCACAAATGTCCATTACATTTCCTCTTTCAAACAGATGATTTCAGTTCAAAACAATGCAAATTGACAATTCGAAGTTAAATTTCTATAACTCCACGGAATCATAGAACATTTGAGAAATGAAATCTCCATGATTCTTCAAATGAAAGATTAACCATACTCAATCCAGAAATCATGCCCGTAGTTAGACAATAAATTACAGAACCACAGAAGATGAAATCAAACCTTCTCGGGCGTATACTTGTGTCTTTCAATAGATCGCCTCGAAACCTCTCCACCATCAAACTT